AAATACCTGTAGGTTTGAGGGGTAGAGCCTGGGGAGGGCAGGGTTTGGGGTGTAGAGGGACCTCAGCAGGGTATAAAGCCATAGAGTCCACTGTCCAAAGCAGCCATTGTCTCCAGGAAAACTGATCTTGGTCATCTGGACATCAGTTGTAATAGCTGGAGATCTCCAGGTGCCTCCTGGAGGTTGGCTTATGTTAATTTGAGGCTATGTAGTAACAGCTAAGGTAGAAAAGCACATCATCCTGTGCCACGTTTTCTGGGTTCCAACGGTCTGGAAAGTGGTTCCATAGCCAATTACATGGTTGCCAACTTTGGGTTGGGAAATACCTGTAGATTTGAGGGGTGGAGCCTGGGGAGGGCAGGGTTTGGGGTGGGGAGGGACCTCAGCAGGGTATAATGCCATAGAGTCCAATGACCAAAGCAGCCATTGTCTCCAGGAGAACTGATCATGGTCATCTGGACATCAGTTGTAATAGCTGGGAAATTATCTGTAGGGGAAATTATGTGCTGTGGCTGGGGAACACAGTTATTTCTGGGTGATCTCCAGGCCCCACAGGGAGATTGGGGTATTTATTTTACCTCAGGACACATTCAGCGACTCCCACAGCAACAGCAAACTGTTTAGAATGTTAGAGGCAAAGGCCAATCAGGCCTGATATGCAAATGACCTCTGTGTTCCAACTGGCTATTGGGGGGAGAGGAACAGCAAACTGTTTAGAATATTGGAGGCAAGACTCAGGCAACGCAGCCAGTGGACAGGGACAGCTTCTGAATGACAGATCACGGAGCCAAAGGCTGTGGGCGCCATGTGGAATGTTCAGGAGAGTCCATGACCAAAACAGAATTATATACAAGGAAAGATTTTGTTATTAGTCTGTAATGGTAACTATTGTGTGACTTCCACAGGGCTCAAGCACCTCTGACTGTATGTCGAAAACGCTTGACTCGGCCAGCGCCCATTTTGCTGCATCTGCAGTGGTGAGTGCACCTGCTCCCAGTCGCACTGAAGTGACAAAGGAACAGAGCACCAGCCACAATATCAATGGTGTTGTTCAGCCCTCAGGTATTAATTTATTCAGTCTT